AGTGGTTTTGACCGATTAAGTATGAGTTTTGACTGTAACACACATTATCCCCTTTTTGTTAAAAATAACTAACAATTTATTGAATTATTTATTGAGATCGCCACCAAGGTTGAAAATGAATGAAATATCTAATTGAGACGCATAATTCAAACTAAACTAAAATGCAAACAAATAGATGAGAACCAACAATGACAACTCTATGCATTATAGTTAAATCCAATGCTTAGCAATGTTTACCTCGGCTAATAAAATGTTCATTATGCTTTTGCAATTTGTTGGCATTCGCTATGCAGAGGCTTACAGATTTGATATATCTAATAGGACATGGATATAGCTAAGCTTGTCTGCCTTTACACTTTACTCTTCGAGGCGAGGGCGCGCGTTCAAAACTTGCAAGTCCCTTCACTTATCATTTGTTAACCACTACTATAACAACAGTTCTTTGTCTTTGTCACGATTAGGGCATGTAATATCGGAAGGTTTTCAATTCCGATATTGGATTCCGATATTCGATCTCAATATCGGAATTCCGATATTAATATCGGAATTGAGTTTATGTATTATAAATTTTAAATATTTGGTTATATTCGTATAATTTCTCGATTGTATACAGTAAAATAATGATTTTAATCAAAATCTTTATTTAGTACAAAATTACACTTTTCTTAAAATTATAATATTGAAGTATTTAAAACCATTTTGTATGTTATGGGTAACCATTGCATTTTGGTTACTGATAAGTAATGGGCCAATTATGGAAATGGACTAGCAAAGAATTTAAGGATTTTTGTAAAACAGGTATCAAACAAACTTTTACTCCTTCAACCAATACTGGCGGAACGATTTCTAGTCATTCAAGTCACATGTTACAAAAATTTTAGACAGTGGTATAAAACTTGAATATGCTTGTAATTTGTTCCTTTTTGATCATCGATATACAACTCACAAAACCACGGGGCGTCATCATCGTCATCATTTCAACCCTAAGACGTCCACTGCTGAACATAGGCCTCCCCCAATAATTTCCACAATGGCTGGTTGGTGGCGGCCTGCATCCAGCGCTTTCCTGCTACCTTTATGAGGTCGTCGGTCCACCTTGTAGATGGCAGCCTTATGCTGCGCTTTCCGGTACGTGGCCTCCACTCCAGAACCTTGCTGCCCCATCGGCCGTCAGTTTTGCGCACTAGGGCGGAATCACTGGAAGACCTCGGCACAATGCTCGAAGACCTAATCGAGTCTCCCTTAGACATGGTATTAGGTAGGCCTTGGACATGGACAAAACGAAGCTTATGACCATGTTCCGCCCTACCTATTTTCGGTTGGGAGCCTGATTTTCGAGATGACAAGCATGTCAACCTCGGATTAACGATTCAGCTAAGTAGATTCAATTTCGAGAAAGCGGTAAATCGTCAAATTCTACTCGGCTGGGCCGCGTTCGGGAAACTACACAACATCTTTTCGTCCAAAATACCTCAGTGCTTAAAGACGAAAGTCCTCAAACAATGTGTGTTACCAGTGATAATATACGGCTCGGAAACGTGGCCTCTCAAAGTTGCACAGCGTGCTATGAAGAGGGCTGTGCTTGGTGTTTCTTTACGAGTTCGAATCAGAAATGAGAAGCTCTGTTGACGAACTAAAGTCGCTGACATAGCCCGACGGAATAGCAAGCTGAAGTGGCAATGGGCAGGGCACATAGTATTTTAATTTATTTTATTATTGTTTGGAAGGGAGTTGAGATGTCGTTTTTCATTGCTAAGACCAAGTACGGCAAGTGCTAAAATTGTTTTAGAACATGTTATGGTTAATAATTATTTGCAGTGGGAAAAGTGATGTTGAAAGACATGAGAAAATCATTGGTCTTTGCCAATCATGTACTTTGAGCTTTGTAGCAGGTTATGGCGCTTTTAAACGCTTTGTTTAAAGTCTCAATTAAAACCTTTATCTGATTCCGATATTGGGTCGCTCAATATCGGAATTGTAATATCGGATCTTGTCTTCCGAGATTCCGATATTACGAGATTCCGAGATTCCGATATTCATGCCCCAGTCACGATGTAGCTTGTTACCCAAGCATATTCAACTAGCTATGCGACTGTTGTCAACCGACCGGCCTTCTAATTCATAAATAACACGTAATAAATGCGTAAGAAACTGCATATAATGTAATTTGCTTGTACATAACTGCAGTGCCGCTCCGACTCGTAGAATCAGCGAATTACTGGGCCTTAACCCCGTATTTATATGCAGGTAGGTATTTATTCATTTATTTATTTTATAGAAACCAACAGCGATACATTGAAAATGTTACACAGTTAAATTGAAACAGGTAGGTATACCTACATTTAAATAGTGTTACCTAGGTTACAATGACGACCGTGCTACGATATGGTAATCGCTTAGATAGGTCACAGGAGTCCCAGACACATCTCCCTGTCATTTTTTTTATTGAGTCAGGAGACCGAAGAAAATGTGCCCAGCAAAAGCTCACGCTATGGTACTCGTACCTACCTAACCTAGTACGAGTATCACTTGTGTTTAGTGACACACATGTTTTATTTACTATTCTAGTTTTATTATATATATTTATGTATTTAATAATGGCTTATAGCTTAAACCTTAAAGTATATCACATTAGTCTTAAAGTAAAGAATAACTATCAAATTCTGATAAAACAAAAAGCTCTATCTACTCGTACTACACGATAACTTAGTAGATAAGCGTCTTATGCTTATCTCTAAAATCCATTCCGTAGACCTTGACCAATTTTGAGATAGGCTATTGAACTGTCGTGGTAATAATTACGAAGCAGCGAACCTGCAATCTACGAGTAATTTAGTACATATAAGTATTAGGTGCTAACTATGTAATCATCTGGTAATTTTCAACTTATGTAGGTACTACTACCTACACTTAGGTAGTTTATTAAAAGTCCATAAATCATGTCGCTGAGCATGTTTTGAATATCATATATTATGTAGGTACCTACATACCTAAGGCTGAATGCCCCTTTATTTACTTATTTTGTCAAATTAAGGATTTTTTTTATTATTTCATACGTGCCTAATTAGGCACATAGTTACCTAAAAGTACTTAAATGGCATCTCCCACGGTCTTATGTTTTTCCGCAACCTTCCACATAAGAATTCTAAAGTAGGGAAGTAACGCGCTATAATAAAACAAAGGACGTAATATGACGTAATATTATGATTATTGAAATACTTAAATGTTAATTTGAATAAATATAAGTTATGGAATTTGCTAATTAATAAATTACTTAGTAGCTACTTAACAAAATTTTGACCATATTTTTTTATTATTTCAGAACTCGGTCACCCACACGAAGCACGATGCTAAACTCGACAAACAAACCGTTTCCTTTACTTGGACGCCCCCTGCTGACTTGAACGACGAAATTAAATTCAGGTTTGTCATTTTAATTTAATTTTATATAAATAAATAAATGAAAATGGGTAAATTATTTTGACCATAATTTTTAAATCGACAATAGCTCACACTATTGGAGTCACTGTCGGACAGGTCATATTAAGTTCCGGAGGAACGTGGGTTCAAACCCGCCGCTAGTGACACCACTCGTCGTAACACAAGCAAATTTATTTATACCTTACCACGAGGGGACTATTAGTATTTTGTGTTTATTTACATTAATTTATTATTTTAAAAAAGCTTATATATGTAGGGACTGTGTTTTCTAAACCCTCAACGTTGTTTCGACTCTACTGTAAGTCGGAACGTCTAGTGAGAGTAGGTTTCAGAATCAGTTTAAAGCGTTAAATTCTATTAGATATTTATTCTTTTACCGCGCAAGTATTAGTAACTTGATTGATTTCTAACCTAAGTTACTCACACAAGGAAAAGTCCCATAATCTAAATCCTGAAAAGATATAATCTTTTGTACTACGTAATTTATTATGAAAATGACGAGGAAGTAGCATGACTTATTATTTCAACATCATTTGACAATGTTATCGATTGCAATCAACAAAGGACAACCAACAACAACAGTTATGAAATTCATTACTAACCCTATTGCGGAGAATAAAATTATTGCCCTATTGAAACGTTTATGTAAAAGCATGTAATATTATTAACTTAATTACTTATTAATTGTATATTTTTTATTATTTCAGGGCCACCATCGCCTTAAATGGTGCCGTTTTCTGGGTCGGCGTCGAGTCCGCTCCCATCAAAGTTACCAACTAAGTGAAACCATACCTAAGCTTAGTTTTAAGATAATATAAGAGATTAATATTTTAAAATTCGATTCGTTGATATTTTAAAGTGTTCAATTGTTTAAATTATTGACGTCTCGCTATTTAGGTTTTGTAACACGTTTTTGTAATGTTTGCCAATCTATTAGTATGTTGACTTGCACATATTATTTTGGTATGAAACTTTTGTATGTTAACCAATTTTTTTGACACACGTTAAAGTCGGCATCATAACAATCGAATCGTGAGTTTTGAATCACCATGAATGATGTTTGAAATATTTTTGTTACAACATGTAATAAACGTTTATGCGAGTACCGCTGATAAATCATACGTAAGAATTTGTATTTTCACATAACACGAGCACTCTCTGTTTATTGCCAAATATTACGCAAAATCCCAACTAATCCCAACTATATAATATTATAAATGCGAAAGTAACTCTGTCTGTCTGTCTGTCTGTCTGTCTGTTACGCTTTCCCGCTTAAACCTCGCAACCGATTTTGATGAAATTTGGCATAGAGATAGTTTGAGTCCCGGGAAAGAACATAGGATAGTTTTTATCCCGGTTTTTGAAACAGGGACGCGCGCGATAAAGTTTTTCTGTGACAGACAAAATTCCACGCGGGCGAAGCCGCGGGCGGAAAGCTAGTATGTTATATGGCCATATAATTTATAAAAAATCTATATTTGATAAGGAATAAACAAATATATTTTATGTGAAAATTGTTTATGTATTATTTATTAATATACCTGATTGAAAACGAATTATTAGTTTTAACCAACACTTTATTAGACATAGCACCTAGAAATTTGTCTTCCGAGATCCGTTTACAAAATTCAGTTATGATACATACATAAGATCAGGAACTTGTGCTCACGTTTATAGCTGAGTACGGGACACTGCTTGAGCTATACTCTGCCAAGACGCATTATACAAATACTACCGTTTCCTAGTACCCATAGTGCAAGCTTTGCTTAGTTTGGGGCTAGAGGCGCAGTGCATAATGTCCACGGATATTTATTTAGTATTATTATTTAAGTACTCAGCCATAAACATGGAATAACTCCATTCAAAGACATGTATGTCGTGTAATTTAAAACTTACATAGTTCAAATACATATATCAATGTCAAGATATGCAATGATATTCCAACTTTAGTGGAAACAAATCTTTGAATGGACTTTCTAAGAAGAGAAAAGCTCGCACATAGCCACGATTAAGCAATTCCAATACATGTATGTATACACTTACTATAACACATACAACTGACACATTCACATTTGCAATTCCTTCAAGTCTCAATTTGGTAAGCATATAATTACATATAAAATTAATTGCTATTGTTTATCTTGGATTAAATGATCAGAAAATAATAGATGGAATAGAAAAATTGCAAAATACTATTCAAGTAGTGATTACAAATTACCTACTAGGTATCTTGTATACATTCAGCATTTAAAAAGACCATTATCAAAATGGAGACTTGAATCTACACACAATTACTACATTATCAGTACATTTTCTAGCATCTATGGAAGTTGATAAATGGTGTACGACTATACATTCATAATAATACACAAACTTGCAAAATTACTGGAACACAATGAATACTTAAGAGTAAGAGGTGTAATGCACTATTTCTATCACTTATAATGAACAGTGGAAATTTTTAATTAATTTGCAATAATTTCACTATTTTCCATTTTCAATTAGTGCTATTATTGTCTATGCAATACTTGTTTAGTGATATTGCAAGTAAGTATATGTCAATGAGCATTATCAAAATGTAAATGTATAGAAAACATTAATTGACACCTACTTTACATACAGTTATTATTAAGCTACATACACCAAATCCAGAAAATTTTGTAGGAAATCTAAGAGATAAATAAATATGACAACACAATGGATATGTGGCATTGTTTTGCTGTACGCAAATTTCTTCTAGGATCAATAAGTGCACTAAGATGACAACATTGGCAAGACAAGGTCAGGCAAGTACCTAATAGGGAAACTATATTTCCCAAATGCTCCTGTGAGTCACTTTTTGTTGCATTGGTCTGGTAAAGTGACTAATTCACTTTTACTTCCTTATTTAGGCAGTATTCATCAACACATAAGTTAGATATTATAATGACACATTTTTACCACTAAATACAATTTAAGAATAAATAAAAGCACCACCCTGATAAAATAATTAAAAACTATTAAGACATAGTATAACCTAAATAGTAAATATGTTTTAAAGCAATTTCAACATTGAAACTAAATTATCATTGGTCTAAATTAAATGCACTTGAATTTAAGAGTCTTACATCTAAATAATAAACATCACAGTTAATACTGAATAAGTGATAAATAAATACATAGAATGAGTAGTGTAAAGCTATCATTGGTTCTGAATGAAGTAGCTCTGGCGCTTGAGCTGTCTGTAGAGTGAAATGTATTTCCCAGCCGCCGAGGTTCTTGGAACCACATACTGTTTGCAGAACAGCTTGGGGTCTTGAGCCTTCACAGACAGTTCACCGCAGTCTAATGCTCGTAAGAAAGCCAACACAAAAGTGAAACAGTTGTGCCTCTCTTCGTTGTATCTTTCAGCCTCCCATAGTGGACTTAGGGACACCTGGAATAAAGAAAGGTAATTTATTAGCAGATATTGCCATAAGAAAATTTAACACATTTTCCAATAAGAACAAAGTAACAGCGAATATACATAAAACATTAACTTTCCATTTATGAAATGGTAAAAGTGAAAAATATGGATGTTTAAATACAACCAATTGGAAAATATTATACCTTCAGTAAAACACTGTCCCAAATCTCGTTCCAAAGCTCATCAAACTGCTCCAAAAGCAGGCACTGGTCCCATTCCGAGCTGGAGTCAAAAGTACTCCATTTCTTGGTGGCAGCATCCACCCCACGGATTCCTTCTTCACTGAACTCCACAACACAACCATGCGAATTCGTCACCCCTATATGTAAGTCTTTGGAATTGTAGTAATCACTGAAAGGAAATTACTCACGTAAGCAAAAATCGCGGTAGGAAATTAGTCACTTTCAATAGAGTAATTATTTTAAAAACCAATAAAACTTAACTTACTTCAGGAAATCTCCATGAGTAGGCTTCATAACTATTGCCCTCGGGTGCTGAGACGCTTTCACGAAAGGATACGGCACCCTGTAAGCGAAATTAGGACACTTAGCGAAAACTTATTAGAATAACCAATAGAAAGAACTATTATGAAATATAATAATAAATACCTGAATGGCAGTAGATTGTAATCATATCTATCAAGTGTTTGCTGACACACTGGGCACTTCTCTGGAATAATTGTGCAAAAAACTTTGTGCTCACAATGGTGGAAACAAAGGATTCCCGGATCCATTTTTGCAAAGTTTTTTGCACTGTATTAATCAATTGAGCACTGTTCGTTTATAACGTAATTTTGGTCATGAATATTTGAACAAGCTTCACGCAAAATATTGTTTGAATCTCTAAGCGAATAATGATCAAGCAAAAGCGTAATTGGAAAACTATTGTTCCAGTTCCACCTTTCACATCTTGAAAAAAATCTCGTCGTCGATTGACTTTGACATGTAGGTAGATGACAATGACATTCGTACTTTTTTTTAAACGTTCAAAACCTAATGGGTAAAATGCTATAGCAAAATCAATTACCGTGCTTTATAAACAGTAAACATTTACAAAAACATATCATAGGTTACTGAATTATTTAATTTATGTGATTTTAGTAAAAATAATTAAAATTATCGATTATTTTAGAAAGTTTACTTATCACAAAACATTTTTCAACGCCTGTGGCAATAAGGTATTTGAACGCCTGCCCGAGCCTTCTTCTGATTGGACAATGTAAACAGATGACTGATCAGCACAGTATTCTTATTGGTTGGCTGAAATAATTCCAAATGGCGGGAAATATAGTTAAAATTAAAAAAGTTTAAGCTAAGGTTACCAAATTAATTGGAATTTATTTTGGAATTGTTGGAATGGCCACTTTGCCATAATGAAGGAGTGAGTACATAGGTGTAATATGAAATAATTTAGATAGTCCACAAATTATTCAGTTTATCCTAACTAGTTCTGCGACAAATTCACGCCAATCCCCAATTCAACTTATTGGAATAATAAATTGTAAACAATGTCCCGTGATTTAACGCAGTTAAGTAGATACCAGTAGCTATCATATTTTATGCATGCCTATAGTTATATAGCCCTACGCAGTTTGTTGTTGGAGTTACGGAATGGTGTCGAATTTTGTCAATAATTCAACGAGCATGATGGAAGGGCAGCATTGTGTGTTGACCGGTGCTATGGTAACCGTGACAGTAAACCACACCTTGCTCACAAAACCCAGTTTCACTGTGCCGTACTCGGCTACACGGCTTTATCAGGACATTTTTTAAGTTTTTAGTATAAATGGTTGATGATTGTGTGTAACTCAGAGTATTCGTGTGTTATGCGTTCATAAATGGTAAGCCTAATAATAAACTTGTTAATATTTTTTTATAATTATAATCATCTGTTTTATAAAAAAAAATTGTGCATCGTTTACATACCTAGCCTAGCACTATTTAAGCGTCATCTAATATGTGCGTGTGTTTAATGGAAAAAAATAGGGCAACCCTATTTTTAAAAGTTATGCATTACATGCGTATGTTTTGTTTATAATGTAGTCTTAAAAAGGAGCCTCATACCGTGCTTATACTTATTTGTATGAGATATTAATACCATACTTCTTGTGTGTTATTTATTACAAACATCGCGTCGCACACGCACCAGGCGCAACACGGAGTAATGTGAAACTTAGATTTAAGTATGTCACTACGCAAGTTTCCATTTTGAACCCCCTTAAAGTAATAGAGAATTTAAGGCGACGTTCGGCGTTAGTCTACACACAATCTACATTCTTTTAGTACTCGTATATTGACGTCGGTAAGATGAATAAATTATGAAATAATGTAAAAATGATTTTTTACTTCTGATCAATATCATCATCATCATCTCAGCCATAGGACGTCCACTGCTGAACATAGGCCTCCCCCAATAATCTGACCAATATAATGTTTTAAAAATAGTAACGACAAAAATTTTCTTCGGAAGTAAGTATGTACTCAAATAATGACCCATATTTCTTTAGTACAGAGCGAAGTCATGATCTCGGACAAAGGCAGAGCCATCTTACGGGTGGCTTGGTGCGTGCTGGCCGCGGCTCACACAATCTCCGCCGGGATATCGTGCCTCAGCAACCCTTGCCTACACGGCATCTGTATCGATGACATCAATAGGTAACGGCAATAGAAGAAAGAAAGAAAGAAAAATAGCTTGTAATGTCATACATTCGAACAGCAGCTTCAGCTTCTAGGTCTCAGGACGTTGGTAGACTACTGAGAGTTCACCTTGCATATTGCATCTGTTAGTAGAGGTCGAGTACTAAAATAACATTCAAGCATACAGCGTTATATTGAAGACTATGATTAATCACATTAATTTGTATTATTTGTGTAAAATAAGAGTTTCAGTGTAACTACCAATTACAGATTTTCTATCTAACTTGTCGAGCTTACTATGATAAAATCACTAGCACTAGTTACTAGCAGTTAGGATTAGGGTTTGAAGCGGACCTTACGAAGACGTATTAAGTACATCTTTCTTAACTTCTAGCTTTCAACCAAGCCTCAACAAATAAATTATACCTTAATAATGTTTATTCAATTATTTTCGATCGTCTACTGTTTTACCTTCGTCTTTTAAACTGTAAGGTTGATGACGTATCTTTTCCAGCACGTACTCTTGCTACTGCGTGGATGGCTACACTGGTGTCCAGTGCCAAACCAACTGGGACGAGTGCTGGTCCAGCCCTTGCCAGAATGGTGGCACCTGCATCGACGGCATCGCGTCATACAACTGTTCGTGTCCCGATGGTTTTATTGGTAAGTCACTTCTTCGAGACGTAAACTTGATAGTAATATTCGATCGATTTAAATTTCGTTGACGGACTTTTTCACATCATGCGTAATTAATTAGTCATAATAATATGAAAACTTTCCATATAATAAAAATACGAAACAAAAAATAAAAACTTTTCGTAGCTCGAATGTTTATCTCGTAGCGAAAGGGACATGCTACGAATAACTCGTAGCGGAAGGGACATGCTACGAATAACTCGTAGCATATTTTTAGACTGGTATATCGCAATCTTTCACATAATAAAAATAAATGTTGTTGTTTTGACAGAATACAGATATTCTTTCCAATATCCGATAAAGTTATGTAAATCTACGAAAGCTTTCGTAGCATTTTCCTTTGTTTATTGTTCCCGTAATCAAATAATTGAGAGTGACTAAGTTTTAATATTGATAGTCATTTTATGTAGTACGAGTACGAGTCTAATAAGGTTATGTCAACATTTCATTTTAGAATTAAATTGTCATAGGGATGTTAAATAAAATTGTCAATACGAGCTACGCAGCTACGTAGCGCACGTCTACGAAAGATTACGTAGCATTTTTTATAATACATTTAAATGGTTAAACAAATATTTTTGTAATGATCTGCTTGAAATATTCACAGCTAAATGCTAATAAGAACTTGTAGAGACACCTTACAAAGTAGTACAACTGAGTAATCGTGCCCTCTATGGATGAACATGCAAGAAAACTACTTAAAATTTCATGGATGTGCGGAAAAGTTTGCTAATAAATTTTTAAAATAGTGACTGTCGTTACTTCACTAAACTCGGATAATCGTACGCCCCTACCCAAGGCAGTTGGTCAGGCTTGCTCTACGATGTAAAATTTTAACTTGTACTATCGAGTGACTTCACAAAGGACAATGCCGGAAATTGCAACAAAATAGTGACATTGTATGTGTAAACAAACAATACCATCCATTAAAGGCTCCAGACATCAGTATGGAGCAGAATCAGCGCAATAAAAAAATAGCGCAACATTTTGTTGCAATTTCTTACAAAACTTCCGCGCAAAAAGCAAATCTATTACCTATCTATGTAAAATCATCAAACTTCTAATGCTCGTAACTCAGTTCAGACTGTGTTTAGAGGTATACATGCCATAGTAAGTTTGGTTTATTACACTATTTTGTAATCAAAAAACAAAGTTTGGTCGTTGGCCGCGCGAAAAAAAAAGACGCCACCTTCCATACAAAATCTGGCATTGCCATTTCCCAGGTGACAACTGCGAGACCAACTTCAACGAATGCGAGTCGAACCCTTGCATGAACAACGGCACTTGCATCGACATGACCAACGGTTACGTCTGCTCTTGCGTGCCTGGTTTCTCTGGCCAGCACTGCGAGATGGATGTGGCTGTATGCAACTCCTCGGAGGAGGTCAGGTGTTACAACGGCGGGCAGTGTATAGAGGGACCAGGGTTCAAGTTTTACTGCAAGTGTATGGCAGGTACGTTTACAAAGATAAGGTATATTTTAGGGACACTTTCATGAACAACGCCACCTGCATCGACATGAATAACGGTTACGTGTGATCTTGCGTGCCTGGTTTCTCTGGCCAGCACTGCGAGATGGATGTGGCTGTATGCAACTCCTTGGAGGAGGTCAGGTGTTACAATGGCGGGCAGTGTATAGAGAGGCCAAGGTTCAAGTTCTACTGCAAGTGTATGGCAGGTACGCGTACTAAGGTATTATTACTACGGAAAATGCATATTTTTGAGCAAGAGTTTCTTGTGTGCTACTTTTCACAGAACTGCAGCTAGTTTAGTATAATTTCAAAGAGATGCAATGATATTGGGCCCTTTTTAATTTTTATAAGCCGGATGGCAATACAAGTGACTTTATGCTAAAGTTGAATAGTTACTTCAATATATGGGTGAAGGAAGATACCAATTGGAAAAGTATTTTTGGACAGGATTCCATTAAATTAATGTCGAGGCGATAAAACCCCATACCTACAGGCATGCATTGGCAATAGAGGCCGATTGAACAAATTGTCCCATGAATAGATAGCATCAAAAGTACTCGGTCACGGCCTTAATTTTTTCAAAGGTTTCTATGGAATAGACATTTTATATCGACAAACGTCTAACCATTAACGAATATTATTGTAAGTAGAGGTTGTATCAGTAATAATACTAATAACTTTTCAATACCTTACCATACAATACCATAGCATTACTGAAAGACTTATTTTAAACATAACGAAAATAATTAATGATGATGATGAATGAATATGCGTTTCTTTTTAGGATGGGCCGGTCCAAAATGTGAAGATCAAATAGACGAGTGCGAGTCTAACCCTTGCCAAAACGGAGGAGTTTGCATCGATGTTCACGCTGATTACATGTGCGCTTGTGCATTCGGTAAGTTTTTCTTAACCTGTAGGGGACATGTTCATACTTTCCATTGGTTTTCGAACAGAGTCTTGTCTGAGTGTGACTCGACTCTACCAAGTCCTGAAACTTTTGTGTTTGTGAAGGTTACACTGGAAAAAGCTGCGAGGTTCAGATTGAGTTCTGCGATGAGAACTCATGCAGCAACGAGGCACTTTGTGTCGTAGAGGATGGCATGAGGGTCTGCTACTGCGTGCCTGACTACCACGGCGAGCGCTGTGAGCTGCAGTACGATGAATGCTTGCTGGGACCCAGGTATGACACTAATAACTTGACAACACGGACTCATTTGATTGGCTGTGGCACAAATAATGTTAGTTGCAAAAATGTAGAATTCTGAAGCAATCAGTTAAATTTTCGACTGTCATTTGTTTCTGAAACACTTGTTTTCAGATGTATGAATGGAGGTACCTGCATTGATGGCGTTGACAACTTCACTTGCTCCTGCCCACCCAGACTCACTGGAACTTTGTGCGAATGTCTTATTCTCGATGACGGAACATACGATTGCGAATACGTCAGTCCAACACCCCTGCCTGAAATTACCCAGTCAATCATTCTAACTACGTATGAAGATCTTTTAACAACCGACTCTTCAGTTATCTACACCATCGGACACAATGACTCTAAACCAAGAAATATAACTATGTTCGAAGAAACTGAACTGTCAACTTTATCAACATCACCTGGAATAACAACTACAACGGAAACATCAATGGACACTACTTCTGAAACAACAGTCACGAAAGAAACTACTCACGAAGAAACAACACCTATTTTTACTGTAGATTATACGTCGGTGAAAGAAATCACATCAATGACGTCATTTACTCAAGGAATGGATTCTAAGACTGAAGCTACAACTGAATGTAAAGAGTCTTGTACCAAACCTACAGAATATACAGCAAAGGTTCCCACTATTGATGAAGCTATTTCATCAGCAATGACTACAGAACCTACGAAAGCAGATTCTAAACTTACTACTACAACAGAAACAACTGAACTAACAACAATTACTACAACTACTGAAGCTGTTTCTACAACAACAGAAACGCCTATGAAAGAAATTACAGCAGAAGTAACTACCACGCCTAAAGGAGATACGACAACTGAGAAAATGTTCACGGATACGCCGACTGAACATGTTCAGACGGATTATCCAACTCCAATAGTGTATACTACTACTGAAGCGATGGAAGTGGTGACAGGGTTTGATAACTCAACATACGGGTTTACAACGGTACAATCAGAGTGCAGTGACACTGTTTGCAATAATCATGGCACTTGTATCAACACTCCACATGGCATTCGAGTAAGTGCTTCTAATAAAGTATGCAATTCATCATCATGATCCTTAGAAATTTTCAGATTTCCTATATTTACTCATTTTGGTTTTAGTGTCATTGCACATTCAACTACGGAGGAAGATTTTGCGATGAGAAAATTGTAATAACATCGGCAGCTTTCGGTGGAGCTTCGTACATCACTCATAGTCTTCGCAATGATACCTCAATAGTCATAGAATTCAATGCCAAGACATTGATAACTGAAGGGCAAATAATGCACGTGGATATTGCAAAAGGCGTTTACATGCAGCTATTCATGGTATCGGGATTGCTGAAGTTTAAATTCTCTTGTGGCTACCAGACTATGCTATTGAGTGAGCTGAAAACGTTTGTGAATAAGGGGTATCTGATGAAAATTGAAACAAGGTAACATTGATTTATGTTGATGATGTTCTAATTTTGTTTTACATAGACTAACTGAAAAAAACTATTTCAGGCTAGACTTGTACTTAAAAGAGCAACACTGCAACGCTACTTTACGACTCAATGATACGGTGGCAATGAGTGGTGGTCAGGTGGCCAACATTAGTTCTTTGAACAGTAACACCACTCTTTACTTGGGCAACAATCCGGATTTGAAGGACTCTGATAATAAGCCATTCATTGGGTGTATTACGGACTTGATAGTAAGTAAGAAGGATGTTGATACGAAAACTAATGTGCAGAGAAGAGAATGCTTTTTACTGTTAAAATTTTCTCTAGGTAAATGGTGAAAGACGGGAGCTTTTCGGAGAAGCGGTCGAAGCAAGTGAAGTGAGCGAGTGCTCGTCTTTGGCGTGTTTGTCAGGACCGTGCCTCAATGGAGGCTCCTGCAGCGACAGTGGATCTGGCTATACCTGCTCTTGCGCTAATGGGTAAGTCAGTAACTGAGTCAGTACTTTCCACTACGGCTTAGCGTACTAAACATATTAGTCATTGTAGGTTCTTTTACATACATTGTTCTTTTACGAACGCGCGTTTACTGCGCTGCTAAATTGGACTGCTTCTATACGGTGCGTTCCATTACGGGAAACGCGAGTCGACAGTGCCTGAAAAAAACTAATCACCCAAATTACATCTCTGTTAATCCAGATACTCTCAAACTTTATTAGAATGTTAGTCAGCCAACTTATCCCCATAAGACTAGGATTCGTTACCATGAAGACAATGCACCTTCGTTTTTGCATTTCTTTTTTCAAACTGGTCCTCCTTTTCCAAAGTTACTATTTTGAGAACCTGAAGGAATGATGGGCTTACACTTTTAGCGTAACATCTAATATTACCCTTATTGTCTATGCTAGATGGACCGGAGTCCACTGCAACGAGTCGGTGTGCGAGAACAACCCTTGCCATGCGGGTGGCAGCTGCGTGCGGCATCCTGGCAGTGGTTTCTTGTGCCTCTGCCCCTACGGCCGCCACGGCATCTTCTGCGAGTACAGTGAGTGTAGCTTTGAATATACAGTGGACCCCCGATAATCTGGCAACATTTCAATTAAAGCTTAAAACCATTGATGCCGAATTTTCTAAATCTCTAATGGTACGAAGAATTTAAATCTTTCACTTTCAACTGAAAAGTACACCTTGAATTACTGATTTTAGTAAATCATCTTTTATTTAGGTCCAACATTGCCAAAACTTCAATAATGTTGGACTGTGAACAGTTTGGTCAACTCATGTTAAAACGAATGAAAACATTGTAACTAACTTCAATAATGACGTTTTCTACTATCACACCCTCAAATTAGGACTTTAATTTTTCTTTCAGATGTGGAAATAACCCGACCCTCCCTCTCCCCAATAAGCACGGGGATATCGTCATACCTCATGTACCCGCTATCCCCTTCGGCGATCAACTCCGACCGCTTCGACCTGCGCCTGCGCTTCCAAACCTCGGATATGGATCAGATCGCGCTGCTAGCGTTTGTGGGGCAGGCGGGGAGACATGACTCGAGGAGTCAGCACCTGGCTTTGACGTTTGTGAAGGGGTACATTATGCTGACGTGGAATATGGGGACCGGTAAGTACCTACTTACTCGTCTGAAGATTGTGGATCTAATTAGAAGTGAAAATTCTTAAAGCACTGAATCTTTCATATGTTACCGATATTTGTGTGTATTGTAACATTATTTTTCAAAAATCTAACCCTTCGAAAGCCGGACATTTTGTAAGACCTGTCCTTTCGAAAATCTAACATTAATTAATTAATTTTCTAATAGTTAGGTTTTCAAAGGTTAGGTTTTCGAAAAGTTGGGTTACTTTTTCGAAATATTAGGATATGTTTGGAAAGCCCGGAAAGAGTTAGTCATAATTTTAACAATAATCTCCGTTTATAAGGTCCCCGACGTGTATTCACATCCCGTGCCTTGAGCTTCCGTCGAGGAGGTCACACGGTGCGCGTTTTTCGGCGCGGGCGCACTGCCGGTCTTACTGTGGACGGTCGCCATAACGTCAGCGGCAACGCGCCCGCGCACGACAATAAGATGACCACGCTGCCTTACATATTTATTGGTGAGAGATATTGCGCGTTATGCTCACAGCATATGGAGCTTTTTGCATTGTTACTTTTGTCACAGCACGGGGAGCTTTTTGCTTGATGTTACTTGACTTGGGGGGCCACATAGTGCACGTTAGGCGCGGACGCACTGCCGGTCTCACCGTTGATGGCCGCCACAATGTCAGCGGCAACGCGCCCGCACACGACAATAAGATGACCACGCTGCCATACATCTTTGTTGGTGAGAGATGTTTGTGTCTGTAAAAGAGCTTTTTTACCTGACGTTACCTACTATTCTTACAACATAAAGCCTTCCTTATGTCGTAAGCTCCTCCTCCGCCTCCTACTTCTCCTTAGGAGCTTATTGCTGATCTCACAGCATAAAGAGCTTTTAATGCTTGATTGTGCTTTTGACTTTTCTGGCTTACGGTATGATCTGCCTCTTAATTAGCACGCTTTTGTAGCTTTTTATGCTTGTTGTCCTCTTCAGTGACTTTTTCGTTAAGAATGGGACTTATATGTTTTCTTTTCTGCATCATATTAAAATTTAGGTTTGCTTATTGCATGCTCCCAGCGGATTCACACTCCTCATCAGAGGCTAAAAGTCAATACCCTGGGCTAAGATCGAGAAGTCTACGTAACATCTTTTGGTTTTCGTCATTTCAGCTTTTAAGTCACCAAAATCACCGTTTTCACACTATTTTCCCAAAACTGTAAATAACACAAGTTCGTAATTTCTGTCAAATAACTAAAAGTTTTTAAGAAATAGTGTTGTGACTAGCACGTGATTATGATGCTCTAAAGCCAGAAAATTCTTGTCTTTTAGGAGGGCATCCATCAGAAGGCTTTCGCGACCTGCCCCACGATTTGCCCTTACACACCGGCTGGCGCGGCTGTGTCTGGGAAGTGGGCGGCCCATCGGTGGGCGCGGGCAAGGCTTTGGGCGGGCGCGGCGTGGGCCAGTGCGGGGTCGCGCAGTGCACGGCCAAGTCTTGCCACGCTCCGAATGGCGTGTGCATACACTCGCCGGCCACTTATGGGTAAGTTACCGGAATTAACACATAAAATCTGTAGCACAGACGGCAATCTTACCATCAGGTGAGATACAGGCCAAGAGCTTCCTCGTTGTGTATAAAAAAAAAAAAAAAAATTTAAGCGCTGTGAGGCACTATAAACGCAATGGTGGACCAATGTGTTTTGCGGAGATGGCGACTGGAGAGCTGGAAACGAACTACAATAAAGTAATGGCCACCCAGAAACTAACTATCTATGGTCCACGGAGACGTAGAAAATTATGAAATAGCTTTCATTAGAAACATCTTCGTTGTCATAATCCATTTATATTTATTATAAAGTTAACAAACTCTGATTACCCTTGTAAAGGGGAAAATTATGTCGTCCACCGCCACCTTTTGGTTAAAAACATTCTGAATAGCTCCGAGAAAAGCTGAGCCTTGATTTGTTCCTTCTTGCTGGCAGTGCTGGCACTACCAACCCCACAACATGTCAATGTTGCCAGATGCATCTGCAACGAGGGCTGGTTTGGCGCAACCTGCGCGTCTACAAGCAACCCGTGCGACCGCGCTGCGACGCCGTGCCGTGGCCGCTGCGTTGTTACTGCGGCGCAGGCGCACTGCGACTGTCCCTATGGGAAGACTGGCACGCACTGCGATCAAGGTATAATTATTATCTTCATATACGTAGCATTGTGAGGGCGTAGTATTATGAAGGTGGGTATACTTTGGTGGAGGCACCCAAGCCCAGCGTTGCAATTTCCAGTTACCTACTAACTACATAAACTTTTTAGTTTACTCGGGTGAGGTGACCTAACTGGAAATTGTTTAGAGTACATTTCTTCGTCATAAATTGGTTAAGCTCCCGTTTATACTACTAACAATAATTGTATACTTCGAACGGCTTCGAAAACTTTACTGGGCATAAGTAGACCGTAGGGTTTCTTCCCTGACAACCTCAACCCGAAATTCGTTGCGTTCAATACGGTTTGCCGAGTCACAATATTTTTTAAAGTTTTTGAGAGAGAATTCCGATGACGATAAAAACGTACAACTTCAAAAAACTTTTACATACTTACTTACACATGCATTTAAATTTTATTTGCCAGATCTGATGCCCACCGACGTTCTTTTCACTGGCACGAGATCATACATCCAACTCCACCCGCGCCCCATATCCAGTGTGGCCGTGTCTTTCGAGGCCGAAGTGAAGCCGTCAAGGGAACGAGGCCTGATGGTCTTCGCAGAGACGCCCCACTTTTATAGTGCATTGTCCTTGCAAGGCGGCCTGCTGGAGTATCGTTGGACTGGTAAGGAGTGATTTGACAGATGCATGTACAGATTTTATTGTGTTCGATTTTTTAGATGTTTCGCTTGTTTTTTTTTATTACCTTTAAAAACTGTTTTAACGCATATGTCGGTTTATTTTGTTCGCTTTCTTAGCTCTTCACTTGTTTTTTTTAAACTGTATGATCTTCATTTGTTTTTTCTTTCGGTGCTTTTCTTTTGGACATCGCATCGGCATGATGGTTTGTAGGATGATCCTACTAGGATCATGTAACCATAATAAACCATCGTACTATTACGTAGATTGGCCCAAACAGTAAACAATCTTTTAAACTCCCTTTTCTTTGCCTCCACAATGGTCCCATTTAAAAGTACAATCGCAACAATGACACGACGAGAAACGTGACCCGTACAAAACGAAGTCTAACAACGTTGCAACTTTTTCCTCCGTCAGGACTTGGAAACTTTGATAAACGTAAGTGCGCCTATTAACGACCCCCCAAAATTTGTATCCTATTACCGCCCTATTTTTCTTTCTTTCATAAAAGACATAATAACAGGTTCCAGAAAACACGTTACTTAAAAAATATCTAGATATGTTTATTGACTATCAAAACGATTAAAGTTTGTGTTCGTAAATAACCAGTAAACGGAGTTATTTCACATTAAATGGGACGCGCCCGCAACAGACGCACTTTTCATACTGACGCGCTCCCAGCTACTTAAGGTGCACCTTGTTATTAATTAGCGATTTTAACACATTTAAAATGAGTATACCAACATGTTTTTGCATAACAATATTAATTCGTACTTTAGTTTCCTTAATAAACCCTCAATATAGCCCTCTCGCTGTATTTATGTGGCTTAAATACAATTTTAAATAAGGGCGGTAATAGAAACACTTNAAAAAAAAAACAAATTTAAATAAAACTAAAAGCAAAACAAATTTAACTTGAAAAAATCAAGTGGTTCCCGAGCCTGTGAGCGGGAATCGAACCCGTGCCTCTTGGAATATACCCAATTGAAGAGCAATATTCTTAGCGGTCGGTAATAGAAACAGAAAAAACGTTAATAGAAACACACCTTCGGTAATAGAAACAACTGCTTATTCAGATTAAATTGCTATTTATTAATTATTGTGTGATTGAATACTCATTGTTACTACTTGAATTCAAAGATTACTTCATCATTGTTATAAATAAATTAAAGTGTCTTTTCTATCACCACGTCTTATATCTAATTTTCTAACGTTTATCCGAAGTCAGCTTAAACTGGCGGTAATAGGCGCATTTACTTATCTGTTAGAAAATAGCTTCCCGTTTCTTGTTTGACGCAACGCATATCGCAGAAGTGGAAAGTTTGCGTCATACTGTGCTTAACAATTATAGCATTGACGTCAGTGATCCCGAAGTAGCGGTCTCTTTGGGATCATTTACGTCATGAGCAATCTGAGCTCACAAATTACAATGAAAAGAGATAGGCCCAAGGATTTACATGAAATAGGCACCTAGACATTATTTATTAACGTTCATATACTTATGTAATTTCCATGAAATAGGCACCTAAAATTTATTAAATTAACCTTCATATAAGCCTATGTATCATAATGTAATTTTTACTACTATACAAAATGGATACCTAAGTAAGTACTCATGGTCAGTCTTACCGATTCCTGATTAACTCAGTGAGTTACAACATAAAACACTACCAAAATTAAATTGATTATTGCTACCTTACCTAAGTAGGAACATCTGTACCTACTATGTGACTTAAAAGTTCCTTCCTAGTTCGTTCATTTCAGCCAAATGACGTCCACAGCTGGACAAAGGCCTCCCCCAAGACTTTCCATAACGACCGGTCCTGTATTGCCCGCATCCAGGTTTTTCTAGTCAAGTCAAGTCTAGGTATTTGTTGGCCAACCAAATGATTTTAATGCTGCTTTTAGTGGCTAACCAAATGTTATTACGGCTGATCATTTAATTAGTTCTCAATTACTACGTACCTAAAAATTTATGGAAAATGTTTGTATAAAACTTAGTTTCGCAAGATTGTACTCTACTATTATTGCTTTTTCGTATCTGGGGGCACGGCAGTGCCCCCACCAAGTCGAGCAAAAAAGCGGCACGGCCGTACCATCCTTTTCTCGAAGCAATTCAGGCCATTTTCGACCGCCTGTAACTTCGTTGTGGATAAAACTAGAAGGCTGAATTTTCATTAGCTATGCAGGCATTGTAAAGACACGGTATATTTAAAATTTCATTCAATTTGAACCAGTAGTTTAAGAATTATAACGGGTCAAAGTTACTTAATTTTGTCACTCACTGACTGACTCACTGACTCACTGACTCACTCACTGACTCACCGATCATCAAAACTCTAAGGCACTTCTAGCAGACCTAGAAGCTTCAAATTTGGAATATAAGTTGATGGATCATTTTTACAGATCGTCTATCAGGCGTGACCTCGTTGGTTCGCAGCGGGGTGGTCGTGTCTATGTCTCAGTGGCACAGCGTGAAGGCTGGCCGCTACGGTAGCCGGCTCTACGTGTGGGTAGACGGGGCGATCAGTACGGAAGCGATGCTGGCTCATGCCTACCCACATACGGCTAGCAACGCTTCTGTTCTCTTAGGTAAGGCTTTAAAACAGCATACAAGTAAGAACAAAGTAGAATAAAATCGTCAAAACGACACACAAAATATTTCAAAATGTACTAACTAAACAAAGACAAAGTGTTACACAACAAAAACACACACACAATATTTCAAGTCGTAAATGTAAACAAAGACAAAGTGTGCCAAAATGTCCCCAACTCAGCGTGAAGGCTGGCCGCTACGGCAGCCGGCTCTACGTGTGGGTAGACGGGGCGATCAGTACAGAGGCGATGCTGGCTCATGCCTACCCTCATACGGCTAGCAACGCTTCTGTGCTCTTACGTAAGGCTTTACAACAGCAGACAAGTAAGAACAAAGTAGAATAGAAAATGTTTATTTGGCACACAAAATTCATTGTAGGTAACAGTGTGCCAGAAAGTCCCCAACTCAGCATTAGTTGTCCTGCGTAATTTACTATGGTCTAAGCCAGGGTTTCCCATTTTTATTTTGCCAAAGAACCCTAATTGATTATACTTTTCCTAGCGGAACCCCCGTACTACTCCGCCCGCACGCCCTGCCCCTCCCTTGTGCGTAAACAAGTCGGTGCGAGCGAACAACGTCGGTCACGAAACGTGGGATAATATTTTTTACGGAACCCTTGCGGCCTTTCTACGGAACCCCAGGGTTCCGCGGACCACCATTCGGGAACCGCTGGTCTAAGCAACGACGCTGATTTTCAGTGCCCTGAGCACGAATGACTCTCGTATACCATAAACAACCGTAGTGGCGCTGTTAACGTTTTTCATGCAAAAAGATCATGCATGATAGAGGTGATGCACCATAACGAGAACGATATTTATTCGTGCTCCGGGCACTGAGGTTGCGTTAAAGAAAGTACATGTTTTAAATCCTGAAAATGTTCACCTAATGAAGCAATATTTCAGGAGGAGCAAAAGATCTATCAGCGCTGCCCTTTGACGTGATGTCAGGCCCTCCAGAATCATTCTCCGGCTGCATCAGAAACCTTCACGTCAACAACATACTCCTTCCCTTGGAGGAGCAAAACATTCAAGGTGAACAGCTCTTTACATATTGATTGATTGCACCTAGCATATTCTAATACAAATATGTTTTTGATTGCGCAACGAAGATGATTAGAAAGGCTAAATACAATAAAGGTCAAGTAAAGGCTTATACATATTACTTTAGCGAATTTATCAAGTGTCAGAAATTTATTGAACGTTCGACCTTCGGGTTAGTTATCGAACTGAGAAAAGGTCAGCCAATGTTTTAATGAAAATGTCAAGTAGATTCAAGATCTAATTGACTTGCCAAGATATTAGGTTCTAATAGAGATTGATTGTCTAGAACACAAGACTGTATAGCGACTATTGTAGTTACACGACATACGTATTAGGTACATAAATGTAGGCATGGGTCCATGGGATTGGTTTACCAACCGGACTATACAGCCCTACAGTAGCGGGTTCATTCCCTTCTGGCGAAAATCTTAGTGTGATGAGCTCTACATAGAGATATGGACGTTTATAGTAAAATATATTATTAGTTACTTTTATTAACGTTACATGTATTTAAGTTTTGTAATCTAGTCGCTATAGATATAGACAGTATGTTTTAGTTTGTAGCTAGGCTGTGGTTTGGTACCTGAAACTGTTCTTAAGCCTGCTGTACAAACTTGACCTTCACTGATTGGGTTTTTATTGGTGGTCAAGCTTGTAGATCCTGGCTACATAGGAGTTGCGGTGGGAATGAGAGGTGGGAATAATGCCGTAAGCCTGCTGTACCTATATATTTTAGGCTCTATTAACATAGATATTTATGCGAATAGTTACCCTTATGATTCGCACCATGTAGTTTTTCATTTTTTTCTCTTGTCAAGTCTTTAAAAGCAGATCCTTGCAACTACTCTATTCAATAATCTTGCTAGAGCAACTGTTATATTCTATCAATAATCTTCCTAGAGGGCCAGAACGTCGCCGACTGCGACGGCACGTCCTGCGGGGGTGAAGTATGCGGGGGCGGCACGTGCGTGGTAGAGCAGGGCCGGGCCCGCTGCGTGTGCGGGGGGCCCGCGGGCGGCGGGGGCCGCTGCCGACGACATACAGGCTGCTCGCGGGCCACTTGTGGGCCCCCCGCGGGGCACTGCAGGAAGGGACAGTGCGTTTGTGCCGCTGGGTATACGGGACTGCAGTGTGATTCGAGTGAGTACCTTTAAGCTTAGAACTCACGGCGCGATTTTCACCCGCGCCGCAGCTTCTGTAGAATGCAGCTATACGTAAAAACTAATGCACAACTCACGACGCGATTTGCGCTCGCCCGCTCTGCGATCGATTGGCGGGCGACCATTTTGTCCCAGTGACTTAACTGCCCGTCTTGCGATTAGGTATCACCCGCCACGTTTGATCGGTGGCAGCGTAAACGCGCAAACAACCGCCGCGGCCGCGGGTGCAAATCGCGCCGTGAGTTCTTAGTGCTAACTTAACTAGCTGCCTCACTAATGCACTTTTATGGTAGTTTAGCTACCATATAAGAAAAGCAGACCACAAAGTAATCCAAATCATATGGTAAATAATAGAGGGTCAATGCTCTTGCAGTGCAGACCCAATGTTAGACACAATATTAAATTTCGATCCAAGATCATTCTTGCCTCGCTGTTAAATATAGGTATAATGTATGCTGCGACAAACCGCCGTACATTCACCTTAGTTTTGTGCTTACGCTGCAATTGCTGCAACCTAATATTGTGTGCGCACTGCATTTACTTATTTTTTTACATTTTGGTATTTCAACACGTTAAATATTTGCTAAGTTTACACATCCATCAATTTCAATCATTTTCCGAATGTAGAACTACGAGTAAATACCTACCTACGAATGCTAGATTTAGAACTATAACACATTATTAATACCAGGTGCACAAGGCGGCGAACTTAATGCCATTAGAATTCTTTACCATTCAATCTTTTTTTACATTTTCTCTTCACACCTAAATGTAACTATTCCAGAAGTTAACGTAACAATCCCACAATTCACCGGCGAATCTCTTTTATCGCTGGGCCGTCGAACTCTACTGAACGAGCGATATTCGGGCGAGCAGAGGATCGCGTCCACACTGTTTAGGCCATCTTACCTCGCCCTGAATTTCACCACGGCAGAACAAAGTGGACTGTTGCTGTGGGCCATCATGGTAAGCAAAGCACAAAAAAATCTGAGTATAAAAAAGTATGGAAGCAATAAACGTATTGAGTATTGAAAGTCGGATTAACACAGAAAGGGTTCCGTTCCGTACTACTTTCTTTAACTGTTAATTCAATCATACTTCACCTTAAGAGTAGGCGCACACCGTTGATTTTTAGTTGGCCGATAGTTGTGCCCGATTTAATTTGTATGAAGAATCGGCGACGAAAAATCAACGGTGTGCGCCTACTCTTAAAGGCCGGAAACGCACCTGTAACGCCCCTGGGTCTACGGGTGTCTATGGGCGACGGTAATCACTTATCATCAGGTGATCCGTCTACTCGTTTGCCTCCTGTCACATAAAAAAAAATCTAATAGATCCAGGCACGGATCTAGGGGGGGGCATACCGGGGTGCCAGCACCAGCCGACCAGTCTAAAGGGGGCGTCAAATGGAAAGAAGGAGGCGCTTTGCCTGGTTAAAAAAATCGTTGATCCGTGGCTGGGTAGATCTTCTAGGCATAAGACAGCTTAGGGTATGGTGTCATAAATAACTAAAAGTTCCTACACTATCACCCTATAGGTATGTTTCGTACTGAAAGAAAAGACATTATTTTTCAGGAGGTAGGTCAGACCACAACAAACATGAAGAAACAACAACAGGAAAAAAATATAACATTTTATATTTTTACAGGACAACGACTATTTAGGCATCGGCTTAGAAAATGGGTTCCTAAAATTAGTATGGTCATTTAGCAACGACAACTATACCCATGAAATGTTCACGGAAAAGAGCCTGAAAACTCCAGAACCTTCCAGACTGTTGACCAGATTGGTTCCTCATGCGGGTTTCCTGACTGACGGCGAGTGGCACTTGTTGGTTGTGAGACTAGATAGGGAGAATATTACGCTGACTGTGGACCAGACGTTGGCGTATGTGGAAGAGCCAGGGTTGAGGAATGAGCTGGATTATGAGGATGTCGATGTTTTTATAGGCAAGTTGATAACTACTTATCATTAAGAAAATATTGTCCATGTAAAGTAGAGCTCCTTTCGCAATGATAACCATTTTAGCTATAACAGTTTTTCTTGAAAAATACGTCAGGGTTTTGGAAATTTCTCAATTTATTATGACTTGAGTATGAATTTAGAGAGAACCTTTGATCAATCAAAACTGGTTCATCCATTTGGAAGGCTCTACAGATATAAAATACATACACACATCACTTGATGATACAAAATCCTTTTAATATTTTGCATTGAGATTTTTTTAACAAATAGATAACATTTTGTTATCTTACTTACAGGTGGTATAAACGAAGAGGAGAGTTCTATAGCAAAAAAAATATTCCCAGACAACTTCAAAGGCTGCATCGACCAAATATCCACTAAGGAAGAATTTTATATGAACAACTACACTGATGTGTACAGCGAAAACGTCAAATCGTGCCAACTATTCCCGTTATCATAGTTCTTCGAATAGGTAAGGTATTAATTAAGTTAATATTTACTAGATCTTCTATTAGTTAATCAATATTAGAAGTAAGTTCTTATTCCAAAGGGTGTCAGTCAGTAGCAAATGTAATAGGTATGTAAATTATATGTAATACTCATAGTACAAAACATTTCTAGTCTTCTAAATGGACCAAAGCTGTGTCTTATTATATCTAGTTATCGTTTTTATTTATTAAGTTTTTGTATGTGGTATGTATCTTTGTATTTTTTCATTTAACGAACATTTTGTACATTACTCTAAAACTATTGTGAACAAAATTATGAACTCGAAAGAATGTTGTTGTTTTGTAGAAAGAAAATTAAAGATTGTCGTACACAAAATATAGTTTTATTGATATATTCATGTTTAATAAAGTGTATACATAACATCATCAAATATTATATTATAAACATATACATTTCGTTATACGTTACTTATTCAAACACAAATACAATATGAGATGTTATCCCCGTTAATCATATATCTCATTAATTGAAAAACGTTTTAGTCTCAACACAGAATAGTAATTTCCATTGGCAAATGTTCAGTATCTAAACACGCCTCTTACACGAAGCTCATCAACGTCAGATTTATTTACAATTTCATTATTAAAGCAAGATGTACATTCAAAAGTAGTAAAATTCGTTAGGCCTATTTACAAGTGGAATAAAGTTGGAATGCTTGACTGTAGTACACAATTTAGCTTGCAATTGGTGTATTGTACAGTATGTAAAAATCATTAAAATTTAGGAACATTGGATTCCTTTATTGTAGTGACGCTATAGAAATCTCGATATACTTTCTAAAAAATAAATATTATATTAAGCGATAAAGAATAAATAAATTGTTAAAATAATTGCACATCATCATTATTATAAAATTTTCAAAAATTAAATAATTCTTTATAACATTGTAAGCTGCGCTTACGATTTCATTATGCCATTATGAAATTAGGCACCAAGTGAATTTCTCGTTTACATAGAAATAACAATTGAAACAAGTTTATTGAAATCGGAAAATAACAGTACCCTAGGAATGTTCGGATAACAACAATAAAGATATACAAAGAATAGAATAAGCTGATCACAGGAGAAGTAAATATTATATATTTACGAAGTATTAAACCTATTGGTGTGTCACGGTAATCTCGATTACAAAGAATAATTGCAATTAGTACCTAGTTAGGGCTCGACAACACATCGATACGGTGAGGCCTACGTGACATTGACTATATCGAACATTATAATAACCGCATTACCACCGATAGTTCAGAAACGCTTAATCGTGAATAGTATTATTATATAGTGATATATAAACACCAATGTATAATGGAAATCTCTTATAACGGCATTATAATTTACTCTAACCTTCCAATAAAAGATACACAATAAAGACATTTTGCTTATCTAGAACAAAATTCATTTAGAATAATTATGTATAATATGGAAATCAGTTAACATTTTCCTAATAATGCTATTAAATTAACAAACATCAATAAGGGATTTATATAATTAATTATATTTCTTTGAAACGTACATTTGGGACATAATGCCTTATAAATTAGGTCGAATTTGACAATTCCTTATTTATTTACCGGGTGGTAACAATCTCAATAATTCGTAATCTCTAAATTTATAAACAAATTACCTACGCATTACATAATGTCATCAATAAAAGGTCATGTTCTATGAATTAAAACAAATTAATTACTACCGACGTTACAATATGATTAGGTACATCGATATTATCATTTATCAAATAAGCATTCGGAGTATATAAAGTGGGATTATGTAGCTGTACAGCGGCGGGCCGCGCCGTCGTCAAAAAGTGTTACGAAAGCATTTGAAACATTTCTATAAACAAAGCGTTACTTGTAAAATCAGTCTCATTCGCATAAGGAAGTGATCACAGCACACACACTGGAAACTCGTTGCAGACGGAGGGGCCACGTCCCTCTTAACAAAACTTTAATCATAGAGCACCTTAGTTGTTTACTAACTTCTTACAATTAAAAACTGATAAAAACTCGCAACAGACCGTTTCTATAAAGATGTATCAAATATACGGAAAACATACAGTCGAGAAGACTAATAAAATATCGGAAGTACGCATCGTATCACCTCTAGAACAATCAACAACACGATCGATACACACATAGAATATATTAATAAATATCAACCGACGTGCCGGAACAGGAAACGAAACAACAAGTCACAAGCGTAGACTAGATCGTGAAGATTTGTGAAAGACAAAAGACACACACGGGCTTCGCGGAAGAGCGCGAGACCCCAGCAAGATACATATTCAGAAATGGCAACTTCACATTTACGCATAAAACATTTTACACATGTGAAGCTATATTCACAGCGGCCATCGTCGCCGACGGTCGCGAGCGTTCGGCGGGCCGCGATTATCTACAGAACATGTACACGACAGTCGTTCACAGGCGGGCCAGCGCGCGCGGGCGGGCCGCCGCGAGCGCGCGTCACGGCCGCGGCTCCACCAGGCGCTGCAGCAGCACGGCCACCAGCACGGCCAGCAGCAGGAAGCCGGCCGCCAGCAGCAGCGCCGCCTGCCGCGCCCCCAGCGCGCGCGCCGGCGCCGGCCGCCGCCGCGCCGGCGCCGGCGCCGCCACCGCCAGCCGCGCCGCGCCCGACCACGCCGAGCCCAGCCCGCCGCGCACCGCCTGCACGCGCACCAGGTACTCCGCGCCCGCCTCCAGCTCCTCCAGCTGGAACTGCGGCTCGCTGCCCGCGTACACCTGCCGGGGACGCAAGCTCGTTACATATTACGGTCGTCACGCTCGTTGCGACGGTTAGCGTTATTAAGATGGTTTGGAGTTTACAGAGAATGTCGTCGTATAATACGCACTATACCGTCTAATGACGTCACAAAATTTCGGATATCGATACTATTTTAGGAAGTTTATATCAAGATAACAACTGAAAGATAATAATGCCAAGGTTAGAGAAATATGAAAAAAAATGCAGTATGTATTTCTTTCTATAAATAAGGTGGAAATAAAATTGTTGTTGATTTAAATGAACTCCGAGAAGTTTAGAAAAAACATGAAGCGTAAAATATTAAAACCAGCAATAATAAAGCGCACACACCTGTTTGAAGACGGCATCCTTGCCGCGGGCGCACTGCAGCACGTACTCGGCGTCCTCGAGCGCGTCCCACGCGACCACGGCCACGCGCGGCGACGGCTGCGTCAGCGCCGGCGTGCGCGGCGGCGGCGGCGGCGCGGCGGCCGTGCGCAGCGCCAGCGCCGGGCCCCACGCGCCGCGCCCGCCGCCGGATGCGGAACGCGTACGCGCTCGCCTCGCGCAGCTTCTTCACCTTGCACGAGCGCGCCGAGCCGCGGTACACGGCGCGGAACTCGCGCCCGTCCGCGCCGCGCATCTCCACGCAGTACTGCGCGCCCTCGCCGGCGCCCTCCCACTCCAGCCGCAGGAAGTTGTGCGCCACCTGCGCGGCCCTGAGGCGCGGCGGCGCGGGCGGCGGCGGCCGCGTGCTCGCGCGCGCCTCCTCCGACCACTCGCCCGCGCCCAGCTCGCTCAGCGCCGCCACGCGCACGCGGTACGCCGTGTCCGGCCGCAGCCCCTCCACCAGCCGCTCCGGCGCCGCGTCCTCCGTGTCGAACGCCGCGTCGCCCACCTCCACGCGGTAGCGCAGGACGTCGGCCCCGTGCGCCGCCGGCGCGCGCCAGCTCAGCCGCAGCGAGTCCGCCGTGGCCTCGTGCCGCAGCCCCGTCGGCGCGCCGGGCGGCGCGCGCGGCATCAGCACGTCGCGCACGCCGGAGCGCGCGCCGCGACCCGCCGAGTTGGTCGCCGACACCCGGAAGAAGTACGGCGAGAACGGCGTCAGCTTCGACACGACGCAGGTGGTCTCGAGCCCGCGGTACACCTCGGCGAACGCGTCGTCCGCGTTGGAGGCGCTCATCTCGAGCCGGTAGTCGAGCACGGGCGCGCCGTTGTTGCGCGGCGCGATCCACTCGACGCGCGCCGAGCGCGGCGTCTCGACGGTGACGGTGGGGGTCTCGGGCGCGTCCGGCGGCGCGGGCGCGGTCGTGAAGGCGAACACGGGCGAGGGCGGGCCGGCGCCGACGCGGTTGCAGGCGGTGACCCACACGCGGTACGGCTGGCCGGGGCTGAGCTCGCGCACGACGCACTCCAGCGCGAGCCCGGCGTGCGCCACCCTCACGGAGCCGTCGCCGTCGGCCACCTCGACGCGGTACTCGACGACGGGCGCGCCGCCGACGCACTCGGGGGCGCGCCAGCGCAGCGCGACCAGCGTGGCGCGGGGCGGCGCCGCCGGCTCCGGCGCCGAGCACGCGCCGGGGCCGGTCGCCTCGGTGGTGACGGTCTCGGGCGCGGACCAGTCGCTGTCGCCGGCCTCGTTGGCGCAGCGCACGCGCGCGCGGTAGGGCGTGCCGGGCTGCAGGCGCTCGCAGTGCGCCTCGCGCTCGGGCCCCTGGTAGGCGGCGCGGTAGCCCTCGCCGGCGTCCAGCTCGAGCGTGTAGCTGGCGACGGGCGCGCCGCCGTCGTCGGCGGGCGGGTCCCAGCGCAGGCGGAAGGCGCGCGAGTGGATCTTGCCGCGCGCCGAGGGCCGGCCGGGCGGGCCGGGCCGCTCGGGCAGCGTGCGGTAGGCGACCTCGCCGGACCAGGGCCCCTGGCCGTCGGCGGTCTCGCAGCGCAGGCGAAAGCGGTAGTCGGTGGCGCGGCGCAGGCCGGCGCACACGTGCGCGCGCTCGGGCCCGCTGTACACGGGCAGGAAGCCGTGGCCGCGCGCCGCGTCGTCCATCTGCAGCGTGAACTCCTCGTCGGCGCGGCGCTCCCAGGCGAGCGCGAGCGAGTCGGCGGCGGCGGCGCGCAGCGCGGGCGGGGCGGGCGCGGGCGGCGGCGAGCCGGCGGTCCAGGCGACGGCGTCGTCGCTCCAGTCGCCGGCGCCGACGTCGTTGACGGCGGCGATGCGGAAGCGGTACTGCGTCTGCGGGCGCAGGTTGCCGGCGGAGTGCTGGCGCGCGCGCGGGCGGGCGAGCTCGGCGTAGCCGGCGCCGGCGTCCACGTGCAGCAGGTAGTGCGTGAGGCGCGCGCCGTTGTCGGCGGGCGGGGTCCAGCGCAGCTGCAGCGTGGTGCGCGCGCGGGCGGTGACGCGCGGCGCGGCCATGCGCTCGGGCGGCGCGGCGGGCGCGCGGAAGGTGGCCGCCTCGCTGGCCGCGCCCGTGAGCTCGCCCGCTCGGATCTGCAGGCACACGGAGTACTCGCAGCCGGGCCTGAGGTCGGTGACTCTGTGGACGCGCAACAAAAATGTTATGAATGTGTTGGCGACAAAAATTAAACTGCCGTTTATTGTTATTGTCAAACGATTTTTAAGATTCGAAGTTACTAACCGACATGATAGTGAAGGTCCGCTGTAGATAGCTTTGTACCGTTTCACGTCTCTATCGCCGAGCAGCAAGTCGTAGGTTAAGTCTACGTTAGGAAGGGTGACGCCCTCCGGCAACGGAGAGTTCCATTGTACTAATGCGCTGGTTGAAGTAATGTCGCTAACCTAAAATTATAAACAGTTTTATTTAGGAAAGGAACAAAAAGCAGGGTTATGACTTGTGATAACGTAAGTTTAATAATACAAACATAATTATGATCAGAATCAGGCGACCTTGGCATGACATGTTTTGCTAGCATTTCAGAACATATGTATTTTTCAAACCATTGAGACAACACAGACAATGTGCAAACAAGGTATTATTTACAATCGATTTTAACAATGCTATATTATCACTATTAAATGTTCTGTAACACATGTACTGATCATAATACCTTGGGCCTCAACTGCGCCTTTAACGCGTTATGATCTGATATAAAGAAAAGACAGAAATCTATGGAAAACTAATCAAACTTAGTACTTTTCTTTATATCCAATTAGAATCATAGAGAGAACCAGGCCAAGTCATATGAATCGATGAAATTGCACTTTGTCAAAAAATTCGATACTAGACCAAGCTATAGGAATTGTTGAAGTTGCGCACATAATAAATAATATTATCCGAGAAGGTAAGAAGTATTGTTAACAATAGATCCACTGGCTGAAAGACGTAGCGCGGGTAGGCGCCACACTAGGTGAACCGACGATCTGGTGAAGGTCGCGGGAAGAACCTGGATGCGGGCAGCGCAGGACCGGTCGTTATTGAAATCCTTGGGGGACGCCTTTGTCCAGCAGTGGACGTCATTTGGCTAAAACGAACGAACGATTGTTACCAATGAGGGTTTTCGCGAATGAAAGATCCGCTAGATGGCGGGACGTGAATGTGGGGTCTGACTGCTGCGTGATTGGTGGATTTTGACATATCTGTCAATGTCATGTCAAAAATAACCAATCATGCAGCATTTGGACCTCGCGTCTACGTATTGCCATCTGGCGGATTTTTCATTCGCGAAAACCCTCATTCAAATAAGGTGGCTACATACTTGAGGCGTCCGCGTCGCAGACAGCAGGTCGAGCACCGCCTGCGTGTCGTTGTCGTCGTCGCCTTGTACGCTGGCGCCCGCCGACGAGCCCTCGCCCTCCGACCAGGCGCCCGACGACGCGCCCCCGCTGCCGCCGCCGCGACCGTTCAGCTCCTTACGCGGCGACAGCGATGGTGTGCTCGCACCCGAATTTACTTCTGTGCGATATAGATATTTAATATTAGGAAAATAAACAGCAACATTTATGTTTAGAACAGAAATAGTTTATGCCTGAAGCAGTTTAATACAATCCAAAACTTTACAGTGTCCTAAAAAGTTTTCAGAATTGAACAATTTTTAATGGTTTCATTATAAAAGTATGATGCCCTCAATAATAATTATTATTTAATTACTATCAGCAAGTATATTAAAGTAACCTCATTGAATTTTAAATTATGGTCATCTTTATCTTTATTGCTGTTACTTTAATAAGTTTAATTTATAATAATAATTAAACAAATACACATCAAAATCTTGAATAATTATGGCAACGATAAAATGGAAATAGTTTTATTCATAACTTGATATCAGTCTTGTTATCAATGAAGTAGTTTATTTACATACAGAGAGTTAAATATTATGATAAAGTACTGACCTATACCATTATTCCTATTAGTTTGTTTGCGCTCCAACTTTTGTTTGAGCTTTGAGTACTGTCGTTGAGTCCGTTCGTCCTTCTGGTAGACAGGCGGAGGTGGGGAATGCTGCATGTGATGGGGTGGCACATGGTGGTAGTGCGAGGGATATCCGGCCCCATAGAAATGTTGCGGTCCTCCCGCACCATTGGTTGGACCCTGAAATTGAATTTAAAATTATTGTTTTGCTGTTTTTCATATTTTTCAGATACATCTTCAGCATATTACTTTGACTTAACAAAAACAGTAGACGTGAAATTTTAATGGAAATTTGATTAGAAAACATCATATGTTGCTTTTAAAAATCTTTTTACTATGATTTTAATTTCAAATCTTAACATATGGAATGAAAATAAACTATAAAAGCAAGGTATTTTATTGCTTTTGAAGGTCACTTTACCAATAACAATGTTTTACAAATGTTTTTGTAAAGGTTTGAATACATAATGTTTACATTATAGGAACGTAAATTAGGTAACATAATATTTGATAACATAATGTTTAGCAAACTGCAATCTTGGTACATTTATACCTATGCAACACATAATACCAACCGGACCAGCTGCCTTTTTCGTGGGTTTATTTGTTTGGTCGGGATCAGTCATCTTCACTGAGGTGGCTGTATCAGCCAGTGTGTACGCACGTCACTGCCACGTACAGCTAGCCAGCTCGCCGGTGATAAGGCTCCGCGGCACACTCGTTGTAACGCGGCCGCGATAAGATTAACACTGAACACGTCTCCAACGTATCAGCCACAGTGCTCACCAAACGCAACCGGATAATTCGATATGCTTGCGTAGAAATTCAAACTCACATGTATGAGTTAAAATTTACAAGCGAAACGATCGATAAATTGCCGGAAATTGTTTGCACAGAAGGTGAACATATCAATTCATACTGCGGCAGTTTTATAACTTAAAATTCATGGCAAACAAAGCGCTTTTTCAGCTTTAACGTTTTAATTTATATGCTTACTTTAACGAATATAATTATATTCGCTGTTGTCTGATTATAATCAGACAACAGAAGGCACAAAACACTGTTTTGAGTGGGAGCTGTTATTGCAACATATAAAAGTGGAAATGAGACGGAATACAAACACTGATAAAAAAATAGTTCGTCTGTTAATTCACTTAACAATAAAATAATAATAGATTTGAAAATAAATCCCAAATAATAATAAAACACCCAAACGAAACTACCCAAACAACCACCAAACAAAGCGGTGACCTTTTGACAGCATACGTCATTTGAACTGTCAACTGTCAAATAAAGTTCAGTGACCCCAAATAGTGATGTGGCTCCTCTAATCCATATCTGTGTGTGGCTCAGTCAGATCCTTGGTCATAAGTGATGTGATCTTGGGATTAGGGATTATTCGATAAATGAATATGAACAAGTCTTTTTTAAATTATTTAACTTTTAATTAAACTCTCACTTTAGCATGTAAAGTACTTGTTTAATGGAATCGGTTCAATCTTTTGATTTGATTTCCTTGTAAAATTGTTTGTTACCTTAAAACTTTTCATTCGCACTCTATTCCAATCCAGAAATTAGTTTCATCAGGAAGTTATTAGAACTTTCATATTCTTTCTAAGAATATTATGAGTATTTAATATTAATTTATTTAAATACATGTAATTATTAATTTATTCATAGAGTTTAATTACATTTTTGCCACAATACTATTGCTCGATTGATTGAGTGAAGGTTAATAAAATATATTCAAATTCAAATTTTTATTTATACAGGGTGTTAGGTAAATGTGTATATGAGCCGACACTAGCCCATGTTAACATGGGCATATAAATGGTATGGTGAAGTCAGAAAATTGATATCTTCATTTTAATTGTTTTAATTTTCATACAAATCGGATTTTATAAAATTTATTTAGTATGAAAATTAAAAAAAAAAGATGATATCTAATTTCTGACTTCACCATACTATTTATATGCGTATGTTAACATGGGCTAGTGTCGGCTCATGTACCCATTTACCTAACACCCTGTATATCTATACTAATAATTATAAATGCGAAAGTAACTCTGTCTGTCTGTCTCTCTTTCACGCCTAAACCACTAGACCGATTTTGATGAAATTTGGCATAGAGATAGTTTGAGTCCCAGGAAAGGACATAGGATAGTTTTTATCCCGGTTTTTGAAACAGGGACGCGCGCGATAAAGTTTTTCTGTGACAGACAAAATTCCACGCGGGCGAAGCCGCGGGCGGAAAGCTAGTACTTACATAATGGTGTGGCGGTTGATGATGCGGCGGGGGTTGGTGGTGCGGCGGTTGATGGTGCGGCTGGTGGTGCGGCGCGTGGTGCGGGTGCGGTTGCGCGTGCGGGTGCGCCACCAGAAAGTGCCGCATGCTCTCGTCCATCACCTGCGGCATCAGCTGCGGCATCATCGGCGTTGAGGGCACCACCGGCATACCGCCTGGAAATACAAAACAGTTTGTGAACACAACAAGTATTTTAAAACGCAAAATAAGTAAGGAAAATATCTGCTTGTGATTGGTATGTATGTACTAGCAACAGGAAAGGCATTCAAAACGGGGGACTTTAAAAAAAATATGAAAACACTCTGAAACAGTCATACTTTTACGTAGTATAAGTACTTACTATTACTTATTCTGTGCTTTTACTAAGTTTTTTTTAGATCCAATCATCTACCATCTTTTACTTTAGTTCAGCTCGGCTACGCTCTTTTTGGAACACTCTGTACCTATAGGTACCCTTATAAAATAAAATACTAAGCTAATTGGAATTAGAAATTAGCTTAGCAGGTTTGAAAGAGAGAGACTTGATAAGGCTGTAAAATAACTCTTGATGGACTAAGGTCCTTACTATTAAATTAAAATTAGAGGGCTAGCCAGACATGATTGGACTAGACTTAGATAATGACTAGTTACACGATCTTTTAATTATACCAATTAGAATGGCGGAGATGTTCTCATTGACACCACAATCTGAAAATAACCCGACTCTATCCAGACATAGACTAAATATTATTAAATTAAGATAATTAAGTAAGTTATACTTAGTTGTGAAGGGAATCATTATGACTTAATGTTTATTGCTAATAAACAGATAAGTAAATGTGTCTGATAATATCTGCCCCCAATGTTTTGACCACGTATTTTATACGAGTACCTATCTTTTTTTTTTAATTTGGGCATTTTGAATTTCAGAGAGAGCGCGGCGCTATCGGTTTACGCGTTGCTCTCTCCTACGTGATTTAGAATTTTAATTGTTGAAAGATTTTAGGTTGCTAACTAGTATCATTGTAACATTTATTATTATTATTACTCAAAGGTGTCAAGAGGTTTTAAACGACATAATTTATTTCAACCTGCAGCAGATAACCCGCAAATGGAAGTTTATACTTTGATAAGATATGCGCTGCAATAGCTTTGGTATTTTGTATACGTATCGATGATAGTGAGGTTGTGGTACTAGAGACCTTTTACCATGTCCGCGTCCTTGACGAGTCTGGCCTGGCCGCGTCACGGGCGGCTACGTTTTGCTTTATTTTGACACCGGCGCCGCACACTGGTTCAAGAAATGATAAAAATGGAATTAGCGATTTATTCACTTTTTTCGATGGTATCATGTGTAGAATGTCATAAAAAACGTTTTGTTTAAGTTATATTTTTCTGAGAAATGCGTAGTTTTTGCTATATTCCATGTTTTGTGTTTTATTTGTATGAAACGTTTCCTTCACGAGGCTCTTATTCAAAATGTTAAAGTTTGTTAGATATGACTACTTATAGGTTTTAAAGAGTCATACTAATAGAAGCTAATACAGTAACAACTTTGTCCCAGTGCGTCCCCGTTTAGGATATAAGTGACATTTTCTAAGGTACGAAAAAGTGAACAAAATATATGGATATAAGGCAACTTTATGATAATTTATTGATTTTCTAAAATAAAAAGAAGCTAACAATCATTCCAATCTTAATCATTTATTATTCAACATCATCATCAACATCTATAAATTCAAAAGTTTCATCATTATTTGGAGCTAGTAAATTTTTAACTTCATTAGGAAGAGGAGATTTTGACTCACACTCATTTTTGGTCTTATTGTTGACAAAAAAGGATCCGAAGAAATAAGTAAATTATTTAAAATATCACGATTGGTCACTTTTCGGTTAAATTTACGCGTATGGTTCTCTCTGATCTTTCTAAAATATTTATTCCGCGATTCTGTAGCTTCTTCCGATAGTGTTCCTATTGGCATAATATCTAAGTGCAAAGCAAAACCAACTGACATGAATCATTTAACAAAATAAAAAACAAAGATCTTTAATCTATCTTCATTGCACGCATGGATACGGGCTATGGAGACTATATTACACATTACTTATAGACTAGAATTTAAAACTTGGACAGCAAGAGGAAATAAAAAAGCAAATATGGAGAAACGAAAAGCTGAAATACAAAAACGGTTTCGCGATGAAACTGGATTGCTAATAGATATTGTACAGCAAGGGGCTGGAACAACAAACAACGGAAATAGTGCGCGTAGATTTTTTGCAGATCCAGAAAAAATATCCAACATCACTGGAGTTAGTCAAGATCTGATTCCTAGGTTGTCCGTATTATTAAGGGCTATGGCTTCCGGTGAGCAAATAAACCCCCAAAACTTCACTCAATTTACTTAGATAATATTATGCCAATAGGAGCACTATCGGAAGAAGCTGCAGAATCGCGGAATCAAAAGATCAGAGAGAATCATACGTGTAAATTTAACCGAAAAGTGACCAATTGTGATATTTTAAATAATTTACTTATTTCTTCGGATCCTTTTTTGTCAACAATAAGACCAAAAATGAGTGTGAGTCAAAATCTCCTCTTCCTAATGAAGTTAAAAATTTACTATCTTCAAATAATGATGAAACTTTTGAATTTATAGATGTTGATGATGATGTTGAATAATAAATGATTAAGATTGGAATGATTGTTAGCTTCTTTTTATTTTAGAAAATCAATAAATTATCATAAAGTTGCCTTATATCCATATATTTTGTTCACTTTTTCGTACCTTAGAAAATATCACTTATATCCTAAACGCGGACGCACTGGGACAAAGTTGTTACTGTATTAGCTTCTATTAGTTTGACTCTTTAAAACCTATAAGTAGTCATATCTAACAAACTTTAACATTTTGAATAAGAGCCTCGTGAAGGAAACGTTTCATACAAATAAAACACAAAACATGGAATATAGCAAAAACTACGCATTTCTCAGAAAAATATAAATTAAACAAAACGTTTTTTATGACATTCTACACATGATACCATCGAAAAAAGTGGATAAATCGCTAATTCCATTTTTATCATTTCTTGAACCAGTGTGCGCCGTCCGTTCCGCCCCGTAGCTCTGCGGTTATGAATGAACGTGTTTTGTGCATTCGTAGAAATCGCTCTTTGTAGATCATCCACTTTTATATTAACCGCTCGCGGCGGAAGCGTGTCGCATAGTTTTGTGAGGCCTCTGTGGAAGGCTGTGGCTCACTTGCCGTAGGGCTGCCAACAAAAGCTCAAAGGCGAGCTTTTACCGTAAGCAACGTTTACGAGCATTACGCGGGGCGAATTTGTTACGGGCTTAGTAGGTATAGCAACAGGTTACTGGAGTGGGACTCTATGACGAGTAGAGATAAATATAGCCACTACTAGTTTCTTACATTCAGGGCATAGGTAATATTGATACGAACTTCAACACAAAACAACATAACAAAGGATTTTAGAGCACTAGGCTGATATTATGACCACTCCTACTATTCGAACTACCCATTCAAACACCTGTTTACTCAAAATATACATAGGAATCAAGCAATCACGGACTTTAATTTTCTTTTTCAGATTGATTAACGGTTGTTCCGATTCGAAAGTTTTTAACAGATGAACGTAGGTATCTCCTTGATTACAAGAGACGTTTAGGGCATTATTGTAGGGCACTATTCTGCAAGACCCTAATTGATATTACCTACATGTGCCATAAATTGTAGCTTACAAGCATTTATTGCCCGTTTGTTTTGAAAATAAAGGTCTTTTTTATGCATTTCAGCACAAGAAATCCAATCGATCCAGTTTTACATAATTAAGCTTTAAGATTAAGATCCCTCGAAGTAACAAATTGCATTCATTCTGTAATGGTCTCGAATGTAATAGAGACCGTTTATCAATCAATCATCACCGGCAACCGTTTCCATTGAGTAAAATATGAACATGCAACATGCCCATAAATCAAAACGCGTGTAATTGTAGCTGCTGAATTTACTGTAACACGATCGACTATTAAGATTCATTGTTTATGAAAGTTGCAAAATTCGTAAAATATCTTGCATGCCTGATTTTTTTTTAATTGTAATATTATTATTTTAGGGAACAGCTTTACCAATAAACTTTTCAGCAACAATGAAAAAAGTTAGTAATTAACAGACTTTCCGCACCTGAGACTTGTGTGGAATACTTAGTTAAGTGAGTAGGTACATCCATCGATTCCTACAATAAGTGGATTCACCCTCCAATAATCTAAGCACGATGACTGCATCTACATAGAAATAATGCCTCGGTTTTGTTTTAGAAAATCCTATTTCCATTGCAAGCCCCAGGGAGCATTTTAATTAGTGCTTAAAGTTCTGGTGTAAAACATTTTCAGCTCTCGTACTGCATTTGTCGGCGTTTATAATGAATTTAAACTGAAGTTAGCAGCCCTAGGCACAAATCTCGCAACGCCAGTCAACCGCAGGATCTTGAGCAATGCCGTGCACTAGGAATCCCAAAGCCTTGAAACTCTTTGTTTCGCCTCAACTGCGGGTAAAAGGGACTTTTCTCCGCTTTAATTTGGTATTTCTGACACGATCACTAATTTAATGCGGTTTTCAGTCGATTAACTACATTAAGCAACGCAATTATATCTAAAACACAACTAATTTCAAATTAGTTACACATAATATTTATTGTGCAGTTATTTCATATTATTATGTTTTACGAGTATGATTTACCTACCAGATTTCTCTTACACTTGTTAGATTTTGTTTCGTAAGTTACATAGTAACAATACAAATTGTTTTTATTTTCATGTCTGATGAAATTGTTTAAAAAGCAAAAAACATCATTAGTATTATTTTCAACAGATATTTCATACAATGGCACTTGGCAGCAGCAGCAGGTTAATTACCATACATTATGTTCTAAATTGTTAATAAACTTTTTACAAAACAGTGAAATGTAATAAAATCGCAATGAAACCTGCACGTGCTTGTTGTAATTTTTACTGTTACATGTTAATTTATTTTATGATGTCTATTAAAATAATTTATTTTATTTCATATTGTGTCATGTTGTTATCTTCAAGGACATAATTTAATGACTTTTTAAATATTTTCCACAAAAAATTGCGGGTAACTAATATAAATAAGCTAGATAGTGAAATTAACAGAATATTTAAGTAGTAGGTACCTTAATAGGTAATTATAACAGTTTGTTACAGTGGTACGGTAAGGGACGGCTTTCTAACTACCTAGTTTACGTTTTTTGGTAGAGAATAATGCTTCTTTATAAGCTGGAAATAGCCATGGGTCTAACTAGGTAGTGGATGAGGAACCTACGAAGGAGGTTACGTTACGATTTACGTAATCTACATCCATAAGCCTAACTGCGGTTGGAATAGGGAACCTCTGTCCTGTATATTCCCGGAACTCTACATGAAATGATAAAGAACCCTCTTCCTGTTCAAGTTAATATCATAGCATGCTAGACTAGAGCATAACTGCTTGGCTGAAGATTCCTAGTTTTGTAAGTTTTTTAGACTTAGAACATACTTAGAATCGCTACGAAATTTCCACATTACCTATCCCTCATCACAGTAAATGGTATGTCTTCAAAGTCCCTCAATCAAATCATAGAGCAATGGTTCTTAATCTTTAAGTCATGAGGGACCATTTTACCAAATCACTGTCTTGTCAGGGACCACCTCATAATCATAATCGGTCAAAAGTAAACCAGTTTCACTGCAAAAATCAGTTAAAAGTGGTTTTAAGCAAGGTGTGCAAGTGCACTTCGTGGACTACTTGGAATGCCTCCAGGGACCACCAGTGGTCCGCGGACCACCGGTTAAGAACCACTGTCATAGCGCATCGCTCGAATGCGCGCGCGCCGCATCCGCGGCGCAGACGCACATTACCTCTCCCTCATCACAGTAAATGGTATGTCCTTAATGTCCCTCAACCAAACAACTGGCGAACAGAGGGAAGGAAGGGCCAGGAGAGGTCAGCTGCCTCCCTGAAAATTGGTCTATTCCACTTTTATCACCTGGATTGGATCACCCAGGTGATCAAAATAGACTCTAAGCGATAGTTTAGTGTCCTTTGATCACCCATGGATAAGATCACTTAGGTAATCAAAGTGGAGTCTTAACCATGGGTGATTAAAGGACATCAAAGTATCGCCTGGAGTCCACTTCGATCACCTGAGTGATTAAATCAAAGTGATCAAAGTAGAATAGATCAGCAAATGCTACGTCCTTAGAAACCTATCTACGCTCATGTCCAGACACTAACCGTATTCAGCGTGCACGGTGCACATATGAGCGTGCTGCGGATGCTGCTGGGGGTGCGGGCACAGGTCCTGCGGCACGAAGTACGTCTCGGGGGGGTAGTACTCGCCGTAGTAGCCGTCGGGGCCGCCGCCGCCCCCCTCCGCCACGCCTACTCCCACCATCCTCGCCGGCTCTAAAGCCTGGTCCGTGAGCACGTAGAATTTTGTCCTATGACCCCAAGCTACCCATCCTTATCGCTTGCGCGTAATTATGGTGCTGTCGCGCTCGCACATTCACTGTGGGCGGCCGTCGCACAGTCGCGACAGCAATATAATTACACTAGTAATCTTATCCATGGGTGATCAAAGGACACTAAAGTGTCGCCTGGAGTCCCCTTTGATCACCTGGGTGATTAAATCAAGGTGATCAAAGTAGAATAGATCAGCAAATGCTATGTCCCTAGAAACCTATCTACGCTCATGAACAGACACTAACCGTATTCAGCGTGCACGGTGCACATATGAGCGTGCTGCGGGTGCTGCTGGGGGTGCGGGCACAGGTCCTGCGGCACGAAGTACGTCTCGGGGGGGTAGTACTCGCCGTAGTAGCCGTCGGGGCCGCCGCCGCCCCCCTCCGCCACGCCTACTCCCACCATCCTCGCCGGCTCTAGCAGCGCATCGCTCGCACGCGCGCGCGCCGCATCCGCGGGGCAGACGCACACGCCGCTCGACACTCAAGTCTCAACCTGGAACAAGATGAAAATTATGTTAATGACGTTTCAGTAATTGGACCTAAAGGATTTAAAGTAAAGTAAAAAAGTATATATTACTAAAAGATGTCACATTGTACAAATTATTCTGGCGGTCTCTGCACTAAGCAGGAAAGCTTGTATCGCAGCGGCCAATACGAACAATTACCTTAAAAATAATGACATCGGTCTTAATAGGACGGACATGGCTTAACATTTATAAAGTGTTAAAATATAGTTTTCACAAACATAGGTCTCACAGTGCGCGTGGACGCACAGGGTGACACACGAACCAATCACAGAGCTCTATTCAACGCTGTGCGTTCGATTTGCTGCTTAACTTAAGCCAGCATCGTTTGTGAATACGGCCGTTAGAAACACTAATAAATTTTATACAATGGAATGATCCGCATTACTGATAGATTAATATTGAAATTCGAGTAGCATTAGGTTCTTGACTTGTGGAGATCTATGAGTAAAATAATTCCAGATCCTATTTCGCATGCTTGCAATACACGACTATTTCAATTATTTCTAAAGTCACCGGATGTAGTAGACAAAAGGTAGAGGCAGCATTTCCAGCAGCAGTGTCGGAGTGATTAATTATTTTTTTGCAACAGGTGCCATATTCTATTTTTGCAACAATTACTTGCGTAGCAGTTAATTAGGTTGTTAACGGCACTGTTGCAATAATAAGTATGATGGATATAGCAATATTTTCTAAAATTATAGCAGCAATGACTAACAACCTGAATAATTATTATCTTGTTTCTAGTACAGCTGTTCGGCAACCATAAATTTCACACATGAATTTGGAGGATATCGGCACATCCGCCTGAGCGGTCGTGACTCTATTTGCGTTGTACGTGCGCCCGCGCCGCCCGGGCTGCTCACGAGTTCTGCGTGGATGCGCCCGCAATCTGTGTCAGTGATTGTGCTGCTTCTGAGACCATCGCCAGCTCAGTTACGAAAGCAAACGAAAAATTCAATACATCTTCATTTATGAACAAAGCATTGAAACAGATTAATATTGGCAAGAGTTTGCGGAACATCAAAATGTACTAGTAACTCTGATCATTCCAAAGCCATAATAATTACTTAGCTACAGAACGCAAAACACACTTTCATTGAGTGTAAACAAACATATTGTTATCTACCAGCTATTACATAGCACAGATAGGATTTCCCGCATTTAGTAAACAACGGAAACAAATGATTATAGATGATAAGGTACATCTGGTCTTATCACTTGTTTTGTTACGTGTCACAAGATTGCCACTCGTTCTTGCCCACTTTATTAACTTTGTAATCTATATATATAAAAGAAAGTCGTGTTAGTTACTCCACTTATAACTCAAGAACGGCTGAACCGATTTAGCTGAAAATTGTCAGGGAGGTAGTTTAGAGCCAGGAGAAGGACATAGGATACTTTTTATCCCGTTCGAAATTAAAAAAAAAAAAGTCTGCTTATTTATTGCCATTAAGGCGGAACAAAGTTCGCGGGGTCAGCTAGTATATTATAGAAGTAATTGCGCAATAGTTGTTTATTATAAGATTACAGTAACCTATATAAAGTTGCATCTAAGGGGTCTTATCGCCGTCAACATGAGATAAGTTTCCTGTGAATGATCATTTACAGCATAAGAAAAACAAAGATAATATGAAATAATTGATCCGTTACAATAAATAAACAACACCTTTTACAAGTGTTATTCTAAGAAGACTCCTATCATACACGATGTTAATGTTTATAAAAGTAAACTTTAGCAAAAAGTACGATAGTAATCTGGCGATAGTTTAGTATTCGATCGGTAACCAAGTTTAAAATCACGCGTCGGTTTGAATAATTTGCCTCGTGTGTGTCTAACAAAATGAATGAGCGCGTTTGAAAAAAATGACGGCAAAAGTATTTAATCAATCAAAAAGTTAATTAGGTATTTAATTTATTCCTGATTTCGATAACGAGTTAATTACTTTAACAATATTTTTTAAAAGTATTTAAGTAATACCACAGAATAATAATAAGTACTACTTACTAAGTAAGCACGTCAATAATTTATGAAACGATTCTACTGAGTTATAAGTTATTTAGGACAGCTTATCTGCTTACGTTTGCTTATCTGCATTACTAATAATTGTGCAAATTTATACATTCTTGGAATGATACTGAACCGACTGAACGCCAATCAGTTTCGACAGCGGGGATTCCCCTAAACATCATCGCTATCACTATTTGCATGGTTTTTTGCTTACACAATAAAACTAGGTCGCCAAGGTATAGTTATCCGGTGTCTATGTATTTTTACAGGCAAGCTTTGTATAACTGTAATTATGATAGGTAGGTAATTGTGACTTTTGTCGATTGAAGTCGTGTGTTAATAATGCTGAAATACCAGTTGATTAAGAAAAAGGCTTTCTCTCATCAACATTTAGTATTTCACTTTAGGCAACACTGCTACTGACCATCCATCAGTTTTTAACGCTGCCCAAATCTTATGCATTAAACATGCTTACGACCTTGTTGTTGGTGCACAGCAGATTTGCATGCTTAACGAATTACGTGTCATACAAACAAATTAATATACCATACAACCGTCTGGCCTTGTCCCCAGACCGCAAAAAAAAAACTTGCGTCGATTAACATTTGGGTAGTAAAAAGTAGCTTTCTTATAGGCAAGTAGGTACTATAGGATTATGGTAGCTTGAATAAAATTGGTCCTAATAGAATTTATGAAAGAAACTGCAGAAAGAGAAATTAGCATCTGCGTTATTATGTTTGATAATAAAGTGATGTAAACTACATAAAATATCCAATATTTATTGTCTGACGCAGTTATTTGCCATTTACATCGCTCTTATTTGTGTGAGACGGAGAATCTAGCTCGTTCCGAGAACCAATAATGTTATATGGCCGTCCGTGGGTTCTGAGTACGAACGAAGACAATCATTCATCGCTCTCTATCGCGTTCAATTGGATAAACGCGCGGTTGCGTGGCGTTACACGACGTAAGGACTCACGTTGTATGTTAATGGAGCGACCGAAGATGCGTCTGAGTGCACAACGTTTGGTCCTCCTTGAATGTTTCGTAATTTCTGAGCTACTTTTATTGCTACGCAAAGAATATTGCATTTGCACAAGGATAAAATTGATAGATTTTTCTTATGTAAGGTGGGTGTAAAAGCTTGCTTTTTTATGGATTCCGATCAAACTGTTATAAACGAGCTGAAAGGTATTTTCATGATTGAAACTATTTATAGAAATGTGAATTGAATAGCAAACTTCTGGTTAACCAATTAAAATTAATAGGATCAAATTAAAAAGAATATAGGAATGCATCTTGAACCCATGTAGAGTCAGTATTATATTCAGTAGACAATAACACAGAAACTTTTGGGAATTTTGTATCATATCAATTAATGCTCAAACGACTAATAAAGACCAATAAAACACAGACATACCTTTTATTGGCAGAGCTACGTGAGCTTCATCAATCGTTTCCAAATGAACGTTCACAAAAACTTTCACGTATAACACTGGCAGCGCTGCTGATTACTCGTTAGGTCATAGCCAATTTAATGAATACGTTTTTATGATTTTCATATCAGTATGCTGGCAATTGAAACGCACCAGTCCGCTGCTGACGCACGCGCGTCCGCAATCGATCCAACAATTTATTTTATAAACCAGCTTTGGCCAAGAAAGCGATTAAACAACGATTTTCCTCAACATACCTGTTTCGGTTATAAATTTACCCATTTTTGGCAGTCGACCTCTACAAGGATAATTTGATAAGACAATTCTAAGTTATTAATAAATGCATAATAATAACTTAAGTATTAAATTCATGGAGTAGGTATTAGTTGCCAAGCTAATTGTAGAGCTAGGTATTCATCTGTATAAAATTACTAATTACAGTTCTGTGACAGATGATTCATGCTAGTAATTCCGTAATACAATAGCTATGAGTAACTACCCGATGCCTCTTTTCGATGTATTTCATGAAGTGCACATTTATTTATTTTATTATTTAAATCAATATTACGCTCCATGAAACTCCTTTCCATTTATCTAAAACGAGTAAGCTGACTGTATGTATTTGCTCACACCTACACGAAATAATTAAGATAGGTATTTGAATAAAGCTATTTTATAAAGCAATTACAAATAATAAGCTTTTGTGGTGGGTGACTCAATTAAGAAGTTCCTTAAGACAATAGCCATTTGTGGCTAATTTCATTCAAGCAGTCATTATGTCTGTGATCACGCCTACTCATTGACTGTTAACATTTACTATATTACTGTGTTATTGGTTTCCATAATATAAGTATACATACAGGGAGTTATTTTATTTTTTTGCTTGAATGATTATGTTCTACTAAACCCAACTTAATACTTTTGCTTAGGTCTGTATTAGAAATAACGCTTTAATTAAG